TGGTAAATCCTAATTTACCGGAGATTTAATGACAATTATTGCCAACTGTCATTGTGCTCTGTTAAAGCTAATAATTGGTAAGGCAAACATTTAGTCTGTCTTGTTATTCTTATTTGTGGAAGTAGATATACAAATTATTAGCTTGTTTTTTATAATAAATTAGTAAATTGTCTGTGTTTGCTTTCAAAATCTAAAACTAGTTCAGAATTTTCCTGTTTTAGTTTTTATCTCGGGAGTTATCAAGAAGCAAGTATATTGCTATAGGTTGGAAACATTCTCGGCTGTGAAGTAACTTTTACTGGCTGTCAGTGAAGCTGATGGCATTATTAGCTATAGCTAGCTATAACTCATGTTTTGGGTTAGTCAGATAATACAACATTTATCAAATGTTGATATAAGTACTTTCAGCAATTACACGCAGAAGAATTAGTATAACAATAACTTCTGAACATTGAAAAGGGTGATATATGTGAATATACAGTACAAGTGATCCTTCTAGCCATGCATAGCTTAGCTCTGATGCTAAATGTTTCAATATAACAGTAAACAGTGGAAAGATCAGGTTGATGATAGACATTTGTGATGCACAGCGAACGATTACATTTTAGATCCCCTGTCTGGTTTATGACCAAATTCCCATTAGCCTCAGCTGTGTTCAGTCTTTAATGGTAATTTTTAGAAATGTGAGCGTGCTAGCACACAAAGTAAACCATAACATCAGTGTCATCCTTGTGTATACTGCAGGAGAAAATGCTTCATTTAGGAAAAGCAAGTATTCAAAATACATTCACGGCATGACCTTGCCTTACTTAATGTATTCCTTTCCTATCTGACACCCACTCACTCTCTACTATCCAGATTAGCATAGAAATGTGATGATATAATATAGTGTAATGCCAGGTTTCATGGGGCTTTTCTAATGTGCACACTTTTTGAGTCAGTCCCCGCTCTCGGTGCTCCCTGAAAAACCTTCAAGGAAATCTCTGTTCACCCCTGAATTCATGCGTGCAGGCTTCATACTCACCATAGAGACATTACGCCTCTGCACGCAGCGTGGGCACGTGTATGTACACATGCGCTGAGATTGTACACACACTCAAATCAATTCCCCTTAGACAAGATTAGCCAATCTATCTTCATTACGCTTCATTAAATAGATAACACGTGACGTGCTCGCTCAGTGTGCAGGATGTATTCTCCTGTGGGCGCAGACAAAGATGTGTGAAATGTAATTAATTGTTTCTTTACACAATACGTCTCGTTCCATTAATGAAAGTGATTGAGTTGCTCTTTATACACTCCAGGTTAGACTGGTGACAGTTCATTTCTACAGTTTAACTAGTCTAGCTACTTCCTCTCATCTTGTTCAAATTTGCTCCTCTCTTCACTTTCTGTCTCTTTTCTTTGATCTTTTGCATTTACCTGGTCCCCCCCACCCACCCAGTACTGAAAACCAAAGTGCTGAAGAAGATAGTGAGCTTCAAGAGAATTTCCATGGCAACAGATTTTCAATCATACCTCTCCAATAACATTGCTCTGACAGTTCGTCCAGGGAGGGCTGAATATGATGTGGCTTAGACTTTGATCACGATCCCACTGATCTTTCAATCAACGTCAGATAATACTGAATCTCAGCTGACCTCCATCTCCATTAAGCAGCTGATTTAATCATTTAGCTTTCTCTCAGTTTCAAATATTGAGACTGCACACTGGTTTATAGATATCTGAAGGCATAAAATAATGCGACTAATTTCTATGCAGTAGTCATTACCTGGGGTTTTTCTCTGAGATTTATGGCAGAGATGTCAAAAGCAAAACTCCCATTGTTTGACTAACCTCCCGTGTCAGAGTCCCTGACACTTTCTCAAGGTTTCTCAGGGTGAGCGGTTCTGGGTTTCACAAAGCCTGAAGCCCCTACGCTGCAAACTTTAGCGTGGTCTCGCCCACAGCTGAGACCGCTGACATTTACTGTTGTTACAAACAGCGCATTTTCTCACTCACCCTTGAGATCTCCCCTCTGCAATTTATTTCCACCACCACCACGATTCCATCATCCCACTTTTTTTTTTAGATTAAGTGAAGTATCAGTCGATGTTGTAGTAGATATTATATTTCTCTTGGTCCTCAGAGAGTCCCTCTCCAATGCAGATAATTGCATCTTTTTTGAAGAAGAAGAAATTCACCAAGATCTGAACTTTTGGTGCATCTGCTTTTTCAAGAAGTTACTGCAATTTCCTAAAACTTCATGTACCACGAGGTGTAGATGTGTAGAATGGATACTGAAGTAAAACTTGTCATTTTTGTTTGTTTTTTGTTCAGACCCAAATTATCACATATCAGTCCAGTTAGTTCCGATGCCACACATGCAACACATGAATTAATTGTGATATTACACACAATGATAGCACGACCTCTATGACTGAAGATGAAACACAGTTAGCATGGTAGCACATCAAAGAATGTGCCATTGTTACCTCCTGACCCCACCCATAGATCTCTAATAAGACATAGCAGATCTTTCCTAATGAGATGCCGAGCCATTGTGTTCTTTACATGGGTAATTAGCCGGATTGCTCGTTAAACAATTAGTCAGATATCTCCCTGGTAGTCTCTGTGCACTCTGTTCACACACTTTGTCGGACATTAGCAGATGCCATTCCTACGTTAATTGAAACTTTCAGACAAAGCAACTAATTCAAGTCAGCGTAACAAGTTGTTGAATATTAGCTGCACTTTCACCTGTACAGTCCATCTAAGTCCATTGGAATTTTTGAGCATGAGCCGACTGTGAATTTAAATGTTTATTTTTTGTTGCTTCTGTTGTGGAATATGAGCATGAACGCATCCTATAATTTTAAATTGTCCCTTATTTATTTAGGCCTTTTTCTTGAGTGAGCCTCAAACAAATTTATGGTGTCAGTGTGCTGTGAGTGCAGTGCATGTGTGATGTGTGGCTACAAATACCTGTTTACTGGTCCAATTGGGACGCCATACAGGATTCCTGCAAATCCAAAAATCCCACAGGCACACCTTTGTGACTGACCAGGTGTGTGGAAATGAGAAGGCTTTGTCTCTCTTTCTCGAGTTGCAGTGTGTGTGTGTGTGTGTGTTCACAGCCGAGTGCTACATCAGTAATGCCTAAGGGCAGAGACTACCTCAAAGTGCTCTCCGTTTCCCAAGTGTGGCTAATTAGTGCAGCTACGAACGAGGATAACACTTCACATAAACAAATTTACTGCAACCAGACTGTCACCTTTGAAGATATATGTCATATCACCTTGAAATGTGAAATAAGACTAAGTTGGAAAGAAATACATACATTTCATAATATTTAAGCTCCAAAGCTTCTAGTATATTTAATATATGAGTCAGATTGGCCATTTTGCCTTTCATTCTAAACGTGGCCATGCAAAGCGTGGTGGAGTGGGCGGCAAAATAATGGTAGTAATCGTATTAAATCATATATCATAAAAACACTGGTGAATTCTGTTTTGTTGGTTGTTATGTAAACTATGGGGGAAAAAATCATATAGTCTGAGCGTATATTAAAAAAGGCTTACATAAACTGCACACAGGAGCATCACACATTCAGTAAAGTGACTGAAGTGTAATGCCATGTGGCTCCATGCAGCTTTTTGGCTATCTGAGCTGGCTGTTTCTTGGCTGAAAGCAGACTTCCCACACTTCTTTGAGCTCATCAAAGAAAAAGTCCAGCGCAAAGCCCCTCAAAGCAGCAACACAACTTTCAAGAGGCCCTTCTCGTACCCAGTGAGACAAATACTGCCATTTTTTAAGGAGTCCCATTGTTAGCTAAACTTAGTTCTTCACCGGCAGCGACGTATATTTTGGGTCATAGTCATGTTGGAAGACAAAGTGACCACCCAGACTCAGTTATGCTGCTGATTGCTTGACATGTTCACGTATTCCTTCCTTCGTGATTCCTTCCACTTTGATGAGATTCCCACTTCCAGTTTTTGAAATCTTTGGCTTCCTACTTCTGCGTGGCTTTCTTTGAATTTCTCCATGATACTTCTCACCTCAGTTGACACTTGGAAACTCTGTGACAACTCTGTGGATCCATCTCCTGCTTTATGAACATCAGCGGTTCTTTTTCTCAAGTCTAAACTGATTTCTTTTGTCTTTGACAAATGTGATACTTTCTAACTAACAGCTCAAACTGTCGCTGAAGTTTTGATACTAAGTGTAAATTGGAAAATAACACTCATTTTTAACTTAAGCTTTGAGCATTATAGAGTTTAAGCACATCATGGCAGTGGTTTGTGCTCTGGCTCACTAAAAGGGTCAGTTGTTTACGGCAATTTTTACAGCAACAGCTGTTGTTGAGCAAATGTTGGAATCCCTTGCTTGAACTCTACATGAACCTGCACACTAGCTTGACCATGTCCGTGCATAGTGTCTTTTCCAAAATTTAACCATGTACTTTTTCTTGCCTGAAACCTCACAATCTTATTTTATTATTATTTTTTTGCCCAAACATTCCCAAGGAGTCAAAGCAAAAGTAAAAAGCAATGAATAAGTGAACAGTGAGCTTCCAAATGGGACACAAACCCCACATCTATGCAGCTTATGCATCACTAATGCCAAGGAAAGCCTTGTGCATCTGACAGAACAGCCGTATTTGATGCACTCGGGTGAGAACACCTCGGGTTTAACACAAATAAAATAGGGCATGTTAATTATTGAGCTTAAGACTTGCTGTTTTCTGCTGTTTTCATCTTTTTTGCTAAGCTAGGCTTTTGGCTTCGGAAATAACAGCAGTATCAATTTCCACAATATGTTGAGCTGTTCCTTTTAAAATTGAATGGCACTTCATTAGTCATTGTTTTACCACTGATCATACAGCAGAAATCCATCATTTAGTCAGTTTCTCTGTCACTTTAATTCGTGTACCCTCCCGCTCTGCCTGCTCTCTTTGTTCCTCTCCCTGGTACCTCCTTCACTCATGCCTCCACCTCTTTTGTCTTTCTGTCTCACTGCAGCCGAGCCGTTGGACGGAGAAGAGTACCTGGACATTATAGGCATCATGCGAACCCAAGCAGGCCGCTATGAATGTAAGGCCAGCAACGACGTCGCCACTCCCGATGTCAAATACGTCAATGTGATTGTCAACTGTAAGTAAATACAGAGCGCAGTGCGTGCTTTATTCCAAACTGAACACTGATCAATATCCTCGACACATTTAATGTCAAGCATTTAATATGATGATACACTCGGTGGATAAAAGCCTATAAAAGTCAAGATTGGAGGATAGGCATATGGATAGAAGCATATAGAGTGTAACAGTATGACATGGAGTGAAGGACGTATGTTGAAAGTTTTGGAGCACCCTTCAATCTTCTCAAGATGAGTCCAGGTAGAAAGAGAAGCTCGGTAACATTGATTGCAGAAGTCATTGCCATGGTAATTCTCACATAACACATCATCATTTAAAGGATACTTCAAACTTCTAAACAAGACCACGTAATCACGTCCTTTCCACGGTTTATATCCTGACAAGTGTTAATACACTCGTCGGCTGTTCAGGATTGATGAAGAGCTCATGAGCCATCACAAACCAACACCTCCCCCGAAGAGAAGTTACAGAATTCTCTTTGATCTGAATAAATCATGGATGGCTGTTTGCCCAAACCACACTTTAGCCAACACTGAGTGCCTGAATTTAATGATAAAGATTGTTTTATTAAACCATTTCCTATCCTGGACTGGAGAATGGGCATTAATCCACTTGGGACACATTCTTGGCCATTGGGATGAAAAATGATTATGTGTGGATGATGAATGCTAATATACTTGATAAATGTGAACTCAGTCGATTAAGTTCACTGATTAATCGAGACCTGGATAATCTGTTTGACAATAATCTGTTTTTTGAGCTGTGAGAGCTAAAACTGGAGCAAAATCTTACACTGAATCTACAAAATGTGGCAAACACCCAACTCACAAGTCGCAAAAAGTTGATTCTGTTCACCTGGACGTTTGCAGCGTTTTCAGTGGGAGAAACGTTTCGTCACTCATTCAAGTGACTTCTTCAGTCTCAGCTGACTGCAGGTTTCCCCAATCTTATAAACAGTACATTTGCACAATAACTGAACCTAGAGCACTAAATGAACAACGGGCTATAAGGTCAGTACCTTGATCACTGATTATTATGCAAATTATCATGACCATTGATCAGCAATTGTTTATAAGGTTGGGGAAACGCTGCAAATGTCCAGATGAACAGATTCAACCTTTTTACTTACCTGGATGATTGAGCATGCATCAAGTCAACTCACAAGTGTTTGTAATTAAATTCAAATTTCCTTTGCACCACACTCACAGTTCTGCTCAGAAGTTTATGTACAGTCATTGTGGACTTGACCGTCAAGGTCATTTGGGGATTTAACGATTTCTTTGAACTGTTCTTTTTCATGACTTGACTTTTTAAAGACAAAAACTGGGAGTACAAGTTTGAATGTACTTTGGATTTACTTTGAATTTACTTTGAAAAACCCAACAATCATATGACCCCCTATGAGCAAGCACTTTGGCGACAGTGGGAAGGAAAAACTCCCTTTTAACAGGAAGAAACCTCCGGCAGAACCAGGCTCAGGGAGGGGCGGGGCCATCTGCTGCAACCGGTTGGGGTGAGAGAAGGAAGACAGGATAAAAGACATGCTGTGGAAGAGAGACAGAGGTTAATAACAGATATGATTCAATGCAGAGAGGTCTGTTAATACATAGCGAGTGAGAAAGGTGACTGGAAAGGAAAAACTCAATGCATCATGGGAATCCCCCGGCAGCCTACGTCTATTGCAGCATAACTAAGGGAGGATTCAGGGTCACCTGGTCCAGCCCTAACTATATGCTTTAGCAAAAAGGAAAGTTTTAAGCCTAATCTTAAAAGTAGAGATAATGTCTGTCTCCCGAATCCAAACTGGAAGCTGATTCCACAGAAGAGGGGCCTGAAAACTGAAGGCTCTCCCTCCCATTCTACTTTTAAATACTCTAGGAACAACAAGTAGGCCTGCAGAGCGAGAGCGAAGTGCTCTAATAGGGTGATATGATACTACAAGGTCATTAAGATAAGATGGGGCCTGATTATTTAAGACCTTGTATGTGAGGAGCAGGATTTTGAATTCAATTCTGGATTTAACAGGAAGCCAATGAAGGGAAGCCAAAACAGGAGAAATATGCTCTCTCTTTCTAGTCCCTGTCAGTACTCTTGCTGCAGCATTTTGGATTAGCTCATTTAAATTTAACTCAATTTAAATAGAGTTCATTTAAATTGGTTGGTTTCCTGGCACAGACTCTACTTTTAGGCCCAGTCCACAAATTTTCAGTGAAGATGAGGTTGGAGCCTTAAGTCATTACAATCATTAAGGACATGCGCTGTATAAACATTCCACTCTGGAAAAGAACAGTTGAAAGAAATCATTAAAAGACTCGAATTACCCCAACATTTATACCCATGATGAGTGTGTACTTCTGACCACAACTGTATATTAGTAATGCTGTTCAGACATGCTTGTCACTATATTAGTCTGACTATTTCAAAGATACCTATCCCCACACATTAACGTGTGACTTATGTCAGCATTGCGTGACTCTGCAGATCCTCCAACAATAAAGAAAACCCAGAGCTCCGAGACTCCCGTGGGCCGCAACGGGACACTGCGATGTGAAGTAACCGCAGTCCCCACACCAGAGTTCGAATGGTACAGAGACGATAAAAGGTAAAAGCATTACCCGCTTGTTTTTTTTGTTTTTTTACACTGCCAACCACACTACACACTACTAGAACTGCATAAACAATGACTTGAAGGAGAGATAACACAACATTCAGATTTTACATAGCTGTCAAGATCAAATTTCAGTGAAAAATGCCGGCAGTCTAAAGTTGCAGATAAATAGAGTTCACATAATGACTCAAGGTCGGGTTGTAATCTCAGCCTGTGTGTTTTCTTTGCCTCCACAAAGGCCAATCAAGGGCTAAGAGTGAACTAAAATATTAATACAGTTGAAACAACAACATCGGGCGCATACAATCAAGCTGTGTACCAACAACCCATTACATAGAGGGCAAGCCATCAGCCTCCCTTACCACAAACAACCATGGCAACTCACTGACTGATGGTAATGAACTCCTGTAGTGTTTCAAGACGGAAAACTTTCTCTCATTTAAAATGACTGGAAACTGCACAATCCTGCAGAAAAGCCTTCACAATGTTTGAAACGCTCATACTCGACGTGCATTACAACCCTGTCCTGGAACCTTTTTATTTCTGATCATTATTAATTAGTTACAGCTAAAGTGCTGCTGGTCACAGGCATCTGATGAAAGCGTGCGGAAATGACTCTGAATGGACTTGACCTCTCTTGGCCCAAGGCAGTCAGAAAACTTGATTTATGTTGTTGGCTTTGCACCTAAAGTAATCATAGAGGCTAAGAGATTTTATAAGAATTAAGGCGCGATTAATGAATTAACTCACTGTATGAGCTGCCTTTAAATAACAGGGCAACAGCAAGGTCCTGCCTGTTGTTGTGCATTAAAAACGGCTTCCATCAGTATCGTTCTGCATGGTTTGTCCTGAGTTGATCCCTTCTCAGCCTCTAAGTGGTTTTTTTTTCTCATATTTTCAGTGCTAGGCATGCTCTGTATTATGACCCAGTGGTTATAATGGATTGCTTTGATTCCTTTGTCAAATGTGCTCTTACAGTGGTCCCCATTGTCACACCCTTGTCTGGCTTTGATAACATCATCCGTGTAGTTCATTGGTGAGTAATCACCCACTTTATCGTTCACTCTGCTGCTATTTTGTTGTTAATTGAACATCGC